GGCTGAGCAGGGCGTCCAGCATCTCTTCGCACATCGCCAGGCACCGCGGGACGTGGAAGCAGCCTGTGGGTAGAGGCTGCAGCGTCGTGCCCGCGCTCCGGCGGCCGCGCCCCGTCCCCCCCTGCTCTCACCTTTGAACGGACCCCCTTTGATGGTGAGGGCTACCTTCCCCTCTCGGTCCAGGTAGCCGAACCACTCCCCGTAGTCGGGATCGCGAAACTGCAATGACAAAGACACGGTGGCGGCCAGCGTGGCCAGCGCGGTCCAGCTGCCGCAGGCCTGGGCGGGGTCCTCACTGCCCCGCTGCCTGGCTACCGGGACGCTGCGGCCAGGAAACAAACGGGAGTCCCGAATCAGCGCTCCTAAGCCCAAAGGGAGGCGAGGGGCTTCCTTTCCCTCTTCCTGCAGGCAGCCTGGTATCAGATGACCTGGGGGTAGATGGCACCCCCAGGGTGAAATGTGGGCGGGACCCAAAAGACCCCCTCCTGGAATCCACAAAGATTCTGTCTCTGGATTGTGCTGGCGGTTCACGACTGTACAGTCTTTTCCCAGCAAGCTGACCACTTAGGGTGGACAGCTCAGTACTTCCTGAAGTTGGTGTGAAGAAAGAAGTGAAGAGAGCACGTGCTGGGTTCTCAGGAGCCCCCAGACAATCCTGCCCAGCCATTCTCCCTTCTCTCCCACCCACACCTGTGCCCCGAGGCTGGCCTGGCTCCCTGACGCCCCAGCCCTGCTCTAGGCCTTTCTTGACATCCCAGTGAGGCGTAGTGGGCCCTTCTCAGAAAGCCATGGAAGAGAGAGGTGACATGGAGGCTTCTTGCCAACGCGGCCTTGTCTGGCTGCCTGTGACGTGGCCTGTCGCTCTTCCTCAAGGGCGAAGCTCATCATGCGCCCTCTGTTAGTTGCTTATTTTCCCACTCCTTGATCTGCCACAGGAAGAATGTAGCTGTTTCCTCGGATGACTCAACTTTGGCTTTTGCAGTTGCTGTGTGGTAGTGCGTCCTGAGTCACCTGGAGGATGGCTTCCAGTGCTGCTCAACGCACTCTTTAAAGTTCGCTTTCAAGGGTTAAAACGGCCCCCTGTCCTACACCCTCCTCACCAAAGTGCTGACCCTCGGCTGCCTCCTGGGTCGGGGTGGTGACACAGGTGCCTCCAGTCACAGTGGAAGCACACGATGCCTTTGGAAGCTCGAAGCCTGGCGTTGCCCCACTTTCCAGAGGCCCTGGGCCCCAGCACCAGAACCCCGGCTGCAGTCGTGGGGGCACTGGCCCTGCACTGAGCTTCCTGGCCGCTCGCGCACAGGGTGAAGCTCTGCACCCGCTTCAGCCAGGGGCAGTGCAGCCTTCCCATCTGACCTGACCTCACTCGTCCTTGCCCCCTTCCCTGGTCCCCCCTGCTCCCCTCCTGCATCCCGGAGACAATGCTGTGGCCAGCCCAGGCCCCTCTGTTCGCCCCAGCGCATGCTGTGCCTGCTGGCACCGCCAGCCTGCACCTGGCCAGGCCCACCTAGGCTTTACCTTCCGCAGCTCTACCTAGGTCTCTATGTTGGCTTGTTTACTGTTTGCTGTCTGCCCCACCCCCACTGCGACACGGCCTCTAGAGGGAAGGGGCAGGGGCCAGACCTCCAGGAACTCTCAAAGCAGCGCAGGCAGGCGCAGGCACCAGCCCCCACCCTCAGGCTAGCCGGTTGCCTCCTCCCTTGGCCCTGCGGAGCCCGTGCTCACCTGGCGGAAGGTGTACTCTGCCACCTGGTAGAAGAGGCTCAGCAAGGCAGGGTCCCCGCTGTCTCTGTAGCCCATGAGGAAGGCGATCATGGCCTCGCTGTGTGGCCACCACAGCTTCATAGCCCACTCCAGCTGAGGGCGGAGGCGGGCATGAGCCAGCTTGGCGGCGCCAGCTCTCAGGGCCCAGTGAGAGCCCGGCTGCCCACTTGTGGAATGGCATCTCTAGGGGTGTCAGTGGCTCCTTGACCCAGCGCACCCCGAGCAGCCATTCCGTAGGCCACGGAGACGGGCTCTCGAAGCCCGGACAGCCCCAACCTGTCCTCTCTTCCCGCTCTGTCCAATGTCTTCTGGGAACAGCCACGCTGTACAGACTGCAGGACCCAGACACAGTCGAGGGCAAGACCCGCAGGAGCAAACTTGCTCCCTGCCAACACCGTACAACCCCCTGGAGAGGCTCTCCCTCACAGGCAGGCTGCCCCACCGCGCCGCCCGTGCGCTGAGGCCCAAAGTGGGGTCCTGGGTTGGGACCCAGCCCTGCCATTTCGGCCAGGCTCACTGGGGGCAGGCAGCCCGGGGTCCCTTTTCAAGTGGGTGGTGACAGCTCCCACCTCCCTGGGCAGAGCCTGCAACAGGCCAGCCCAGCCCCCACCTGTGTGGGGCACAGGCCATCGGCATCCTGGAAGTAGAAGAGGCCTCCATGCTCAGGGTCCCATCCAGAGCGGAGGGGCGCCAAGAGGAACGTCTTGATAACGTGGGCCCGAAGTTCAGGGTCACCTTTCCGGAGGGCGTGACGGAGCAGGAACCAGCCAGCTTCCAGCGCGTGACCTGGTGCGGATGGGCATGAGGCGGGCGCGGCTCTCCGCACCACATGGGGCGCTCAAGCCTCTGCACCAACCACAGCAGGACCAGAGCCCCCCTCACGCAGGGCACACACCCTGCCACCCATGCCCGTTGGCTGGATGGCCCTCCCGCATGCCCTCTGCTGCCACCCGCCTGAGCTGCCCCTTCTCTGCCTGCCCCTGATGGAGGGGGAAGCCCCAGCCCGGGCCTGTGTGTCGGCCCAGCCGGCCTCACCTGGGTTCTGCTGCCTCCCCAGGCAGCCAGGAAGCTCCTTGCCATCTTCTGACACGTTCTCCAGCACAGCCTGGCCATCCCTCTGAGGGTAAGGCGAGCAGGCGGTGCGGCCTGCAACCGTCCACCAGGAACACCGCCCTCCCCGCTGCACTGCACTAGAGGCTCGGGGCCTCCTTAAAGCCCGCGTCCCACAGACTCCCCACTCCATAGGGTGAGTGTGCATGGGCTCCCCGGGCCCTTCGCTTTCACCAGGGTCTTGGCTGCCCGTGTGCTGAGAAAGTCCGCGAGGGGTGGAGGAGATGCCCCGGGCGCAGAGGGCGAGCAGCCCTGCCCCTCCGCTGCTGGCCCTGTCTAGTGTCTGTGATGGTCAGCCCTCTGCCCCTACCTGGACGTGCTGCAGAAGCCTCTGGGCGCACCAGTCCCCCAGCTCTGCGTAGCTGCCCGCCATCACCTCATCTGCCTCCCCGAGTTCTTCCACCAGGTTCAACAGCATCATGGGCACTGCCATGGGCTCTGAGGTAGGGGCCCCCGGGAGCTGGGGCCGGCCCAGCCCTGACGGGTCCTCCCGCACCCAGTGGACAATCTGGTCCATCATCTCCACCGCTTCCCTCTGGGTGGAGGCAGATGGGCCAGGGGGGCTCAGGCTGCGGCTGCAGCTCACGGAGTCCCACCCTGTGCAGTCCGCCCCCCGCCCCCGGTCCCAGCCTACAGGCCCCAGGGCTGGGCCCCTGTTGGGAGAGCCCTGCAGGACAGTACCAGGGACCTAGGTCCAGGTTGGGTGCTGGGGCTCAGGATGGCGCCACTCCCTCTGCCTCTGGGGCGCCCATTCTAGGGGGAGGCAGCTGTCCCCACGCAGCAGGTGGGGTCGGAAAGCACAAAGGGTCCCAAGGAGGAGGGAGAGAGCTGCCCTGGGCTTCTCTGGGGCATGGAGTGGGAGCTGAGAGGTGACTGGGGGGCGGAGCACCCATAGACACATGGTGATAACTCAGTGAAGGAAGGGGGTCCAGGAGCCTCAAGGCTGTGGCAGCACAGAGGCAGGCCAAGCCTGTCCCCCCACGGCACTGGACAGGTGGTGAAGGGCCAGGCCACTCCCAGGGCACCGCCCGCAAGCACCTGGTACCGCGCCTCCCCTGTAGCACGCCACAGCTCGCTCATGGCCAGGGTGTAAAAACACTCGCTGAAGATGGTGCGCTGCACTTTGACGGGGCGGCCATCCCGGGTTAGCAGGAAGGCGCACTTCTTCCCAGGGGGTGCCACTCGGGCATGGCGGAGCAGAAATTCACCACCTGGTGGGGGGAGGTGGGCGTGGCAGAACTCAGGTGAAGACTCACCTTTCCTGCGTACCTGTGAACCCCCAAGGCCCCTCCCTGCTGCCAAGACATCTCGGGCAGCTTCTCTGCAGGGCCCCCTTCTCTGCGACCGCCGCTGCTCTGCGGCCCGCGGCAGCTGCATGCACGAGCCCCACCAAGTGCATCTGGAGGGGCTCTGGGCACCGGGGCTGCCAGGGTACCTGCTTTAGCCACGTCCAGGAGCTCAGGGCGGTGGAAGCGCTCGACTGTGCGGTACAGGCGACAGTACATCCACACCTGGTGGGGGCAGGCGTGACCTCAGCAGGGAGTAGTGGCTGCTCCAGGCGGAGAGGAGGGGTCCTGAGTGCGAGCGCCTCCCCCAGTGGGCCTCGCGTGGGTATGGACAGAGGCAGGGCAGCCCGTCCACCCTGCCTGCCCCGGAGACCTGCAGGCCTACCTGCCTCCCCTGCAGCCACACATACTTGAGGTCATCGTACACCTGCCCGTCTCGGCCCAGGCACGTGAAAAAGCCCCTGTGGGGCAGACGGCGCCTTAGCAAAGGGGGAGCTGCCTCACCCATGCCGTACCCCGGGAACCACTGCCCGCAGGGAGCAGACCAGAGAGTGAGGTGGGGACTGGGGAAGGGCGGAGAGCCGGCCAATGGTGCCAGGAGGGAGGAGGCGCACCCGTATTCAGGGTCGTGGGAGTGCGCTGTCCAGAAAGCCAGCACGCGGTCCAGTTCCTGCCCGACTCGCTCCTTCCAGGCCTGCAGACGCTCGCGTTCCTTCTCCATGTCCTGGAGAAACTCTGGACTTGGAGCCACAGCTGCCCCCACACCTCTCCACCTTCCCAGGCCCCATCTTCTAAGCGGGCTCTTGTGTGCCCCGGTGGCCCCCCCTCTGGAACCAGCCCCACGGCTGCCTCCCCCTGGCCTGGGGACCCAGCCCTCGGGGTTCTCTCCAGCCCTGTGCGGGGCTGCTGACCGGACAGTCACAGGCCTGTCCCCACCGTCCCTGCAGGACACACCCCACCACGGGGCCCCACTGGCCTGCCACACTCGGAGACCCCCGCTCATCCTTCCCTCTTCCAGGAAGCCAGAGAGCTGGTCGCGGTCCCGTGACTGTCACTCAGCTGACCCAGCCACGCCCCACCCATCCCCTCCGGGATCCTGCCGGGCCAGGGGCGGGGCCACGACGGGGGCGGGGCCTGCGGCCGCGCGGACCCAGCTCCGCCCCCACGGTCGGCTCGGCGGGACCCTGGGCGGCAGAGTCCGCGGAGCTAGGCTCTGGCCTCTGCTGGGCACGTGGGGGTCCAGATCCGCCTGGTGGGGGACGCCGGAGAGCCAGCCGGTGGGCCACGCGAGGCGGGGCTGACTTTCCATGCTTTCAGCAGCGACTCCCCACCCCGTGGCTCCTGCAAGGCCGTGGGGCACAGGTGCAGTGGAAGACGGGCACCCTCTGACCTCAACCCCCACAGGTGGCATCAGCACTCAGCAGCCCACGACTGCTGACTGGTGCTGACTTCTTCACCCAAACCATCCAGCTGCGCGAGGCAGGTAAGAGTGGGTGTCTGGAGAGGTATCCGCCCTCAGGTCCCCCAGGTTGGCCAGGCCTGTCTTTCACCACCCAGATCGCTTCTCCTGGCTCCGTGGCTGGCCTGATCCGATGCCCCTGGGAAGATTAGCTAAACTGTCTCCCCACGTTTCTCTGCCAACGGCAGAACCCCAGGGAGGGCGCAGGCCAGGGACCCTGAGTCCCCAGCACGGTCCAGGGAGCTCAGCCTTCTGGGTCAGCTCCCACTGCTGGCTGCCAGTCTTTGGGGTATCATGGCTGCCTCCTTCAAGGATCCTACTACAGGCTAACCCCCTTCCAAATAATTCCCGTTTGCAATGCTGGGACGAGTGACCTGCCTGGCCAGCAGGGGGGTGGAGACCGGTTACCTTGTGCCGCCTCTACCAGCCGCTGCGGCTTATGCTTGAGCTGCCCACCCTGCTCTTGATGCTTCCGGCGACCCTTCGCGGCCATCTCTCCCCGCCTCCCTGTGCTCACCGCCCTCAGGCCTACCTAGCTCTGGACAAGCCTGGGCAAATGGAAGGTTGTGAGGGTCATAGGGGCGGGCCCCCAGGCCTGGGTCCAGTGGACGGGGCCTCTCCTGCTGAGGCTCAGGAAGGAGTGTGTTCAGACTCCACGCCGAGTGCTGAGAGCAGCCCTCGGGCCTCAGCATCCAGAGGGCCATGCTGGCCACCTAGAGGCCAGGACCCTCCACCTGGGCCCGACTGTGTCCATCTGGCCTTGTATCACATGCCCCCACCTGTCCGCACAGGCCTCTCCTCTCCTGGGCCCCAACCCGCACTGGCCAGAGGGGCCGCAGGGCTTTTGCCTCCCCTCTGAAGGTCACCTGCCTGTCCCTGCCCCCAGGGCTGGGCTTTGTCAGGGTGAGGAAGCTAGAGCTGCAGAGGTATGGCCTTGTAGGTCTACAGGGCCCGCCCACTGGAGCCCCAACCTGAGGCCTAGTAAAGCGAGCGGGCCTGCCTGTGAGCTGGGCTCACATGTCTGAATACATGTTTGTGTGCACAGGGCGCGGGGCAGGGAGGGTTCCGGTTCGACTGATGGGGAGGGGAAGGGTGGCTAACAGGTGTGGCAGAGAAGGCACCAAGGTCCTGTGGGCCCGGCTTCTGCAGGCCTCGTGGCTGGCCAGCACTAGTCTAGCCCAGCTAACCCACCCACCCACCCACGCGGCAGCCCGCACCAGCCCCCTCAGCAGGGTGTGAGAGGGAACCTCATGTCCTGTGCCCACTGAGTGTGACACAGAACCACACCCATGGGCGACACCAGGGGTTTTCTCAGCCCGAACCGCGGGTGGAAGCGCAGCCCAGCTCTTCCCCTGGCCACTCCAGACCGGCCATTCCAGGCCGGCCACTGCACGCAGCCTCTGCCCCAGTCCCCTGTCCTCCAGTTGGGAGGCGACAGGTCCTAGGCCAGGGCAGCCGGGCTCTGCCCAGGGAGCCCCAGGCCCCAGCGTGGAGGCACTGTCCCGATCCCTCATTTCTGTGGAGGCAACTGGAAGGCAGAACCTGCTCTGGGGGGGCCTGCTGGGGAGGGGCGCCGTCACCCGGGAGCGCTGGACAGAGAAACAACAGCTATTTCAAAAAAAGTCTTTTTAATTGTTCAAAATAGCACAAAACGACATCGCACTGTGGTGATCAGGCCACGGGTTACTCTACAATAGATGACAGGCTACTGCTCAGTCAAGGGCGCTCGGGGGCGGCAACAATGGGACCAGGCGAGTGGGCTCCGGGGCGACTAAACGTGACATTTTCCACGGCGAAATATACTATAATACAACAAACCAGAGGACGCGGCCGGTGGCAGGGTCTGGCGGCCGTGGCCGTCACAGCTGCGCCTCCAGGGCGGGGGTCTGCAGACCGCGCTGCCACTCTCCCAGGACCTGCCCACAGCCTTGCTGGCGCCTGAAGCGGGACCAGGTGAGAGTGGCCTCGTCTGTCACGCAAGGCAGAGTCCCCTAGGCAGGCCTCAGCCCCCCACAGCGTCAACCAGGAGAGCCAGCGGGGCACACACCCGCCCTTGTCTCTGGGGTGCCGCCCCCCTTTTCTTGCAGCTCTGCCCAGAGGGTGGCGGTGTCGAGGGCGCCAGACACTGAGAGCCAGGGAGGGCTGGGGGTCGCGAGCAGACCTCCCCTGCGGGCTGCCCCTGGGGTGCAGAGCCGCTCACCCACAGTTGGGAGGTCACTGTTCGCCTTCCCGCGGCCGCTCAGGCCCCGGACCTAGGGCCCAGTAGAGGGGTGGAGGCCAGTAGCCAGCAAGAGGCGGCGGGGCTGGGCGGCCAACGGCAGGCCCAAGGGGAGAGTCCACACCTCTTCTACCCTGGTTGCCACCAGCTTTTCCTCCAGAAAGATCCCTGCCAAGGCTTAGCCAAGGAGAAAAAGTAAAAAAAAAAACCAAAAAAAAAAAAAAAAAAAAAAAAATGAACAGATAAGAACTACTCAAGCTGCTTAAAAATTTTACAAAGAAACAAAGCACTAAATTACAATAAAAATGTTAACTCCGTCAATTTCAACTTAAAAAAATACAACAAATGCAGCAGTTGGTGGTGTGGCCCTGGCCTGGACCCCGGGGAGGCCGAAGCCAGGCTCGGCGGGAGTCAGGCAGGCTCGGAGCGCTGCTCAGGCCGCCGCGAGGTGCCTTCTCCCCCTTTCTTTTTCTTCTCATGTTTGGAAATGGGGAAGAGGAGGAAGGGGCGAGGGGAGGGTACGAAGGCCTCTGAGAAGGGGGGCGCGAGGACAGAGCAGGGGTGGGTAGGGCCCGCTGGAAATGCCAAGGGCACAAAGTAAGACAGGACCAGGAGCCCCCAAGCCTCTCTGAGAGAGACAAGGGCGGGACTGCTGGGGAGGCCTCTCCTGGGCTCCCGGCCACCACCTTGAAGACAGCGACGGCTACGGGCTTCCGCCCACACAGTCCAAGGCGCTTCCTCTCCTGGCTGCCCAGCGCTCGGGCTGGCTTGGCGGCGCCGGCCTGGAGGGGAGCCGAGCCGGGCCGCTGCTCTTCCCTGTCAGCCTCCACCGCCCCAGCAGCGGGAAAATGTGCTTTCTTTAGGTTACTGAAAACAGCGAGAGGGAGAACGAAGAGTGGCGGCCAGCGGCTGGCGAGGGGGAAGAGTGAGCGCCGGGGTGGGGGGGCCCTGGTGGGCGCGGTCCTGAAGCAGAGGGGGGCTGGAGGATCCAGGTGCTGGGCAGCTGCCTCTCACTGGCCATCTGCCTTCGATTTCTTTGGAGCGGATTTCCTTGGAAGACGGGAGGACAGGGGATCAGGACCACTCCGACAACGAAGGGCCCTGGCAGCCCAGGACCCAGCTAAACTCCCCCAGGCCACATGAGGACGGCGCTTGTCCTCGGTCACAAGCAAATAGCACTTCACGACCAGCACAGCGACAAGGTTGACCAGGGCACCAAGGCGTCTTGCCAGGTTAGGGGCACGTCCCCCACCCCCCAGGGCCCCGCTTACATTTCCGGAGAGGACATGGGCCGCTTGCTGGCGGGCTTGGTGCCAGAGCTGTCCTTACTGGTTTCTGCAGACAGAGGTAGAGCGGTGAGTGGACAGCGGGGCTGCGGCCCCGCCCCGCCCCTCCAGCCCCCACCCCAACCAGGTCTAGGGCCACCCCAGGCAAGATTTCGAGGCCCTCCTGCTGCAGCTCCTCCAGCCCCACCGGTCTCCTGGGGGCTGGAGTCACACCAGGCAGGTCGGCCTGAGCCAGCAGCACCCTTGTGCTGCCGCCCTGGAAGCCCCGGGCCAGGCTTACCTTGCAGCCACCTCACTTGGGTGGCAGGGCCATAGCCCTTCTCGTTGCGCGCGGCGATGCGGAAGATGATGGCGGGCTTGGTGGTGTAGTCGATGTGTGCGTTGGAGAGGCTGGAGGACTGCACCAGGCAGGAGGGGCTGGGCCCGCAGTACACGCGCATGAAGGCCAGCTGTGCCGGGGCCGAGCTCTTGGGCTCTCCGCTGGCCTGCGAGCTCTGGATGGCCAGGTACACCGAGTACTCGATGATCTTGCCCGAGGTCACAGAGGGCGGCTCCCAGGTGAGGTGAGCACCATCTGGGCTCTGGAACCAGGGGACAGGTCAAGCTGCGCTGTGCCCCTGGGCTCCGCCCAATGACTTTGCCCCACCCCGTGTCCTGGCAAGGAGGTGCACTGAAGGCCTTGCGGCCTCCAGTGCTGACGCCACTCCCCCACCAGCTGTTTCCCGCCGGCGGGGCTCAGTCCCCAGCAGCCGCCCTGCCCTGCCCAACCCAAGGAGCAAGGATGCAGAAGCAGAGCTAACAGGCCCTGACCATCCGGATGTAGGGATGAGGCGAAGAACATGTTCGCCACGGCACGCTCGCTGGATGTCGGTGGCCAGCTTAAGAGGGCAAAAGCCGGGCCAGGGGACAGGAGGGAACTTGCCCTTGTTGCAACTGGTGACAGCCAGGCCTGAAGTCAGGGTTCCGGTCACTGCTGTCAGGCAGACACTGTTCACCCAGAGGGAGCCGATCTGCCCTCACACCGGGGCCTACCGCCCAGTGTGGAAGGGAGCTCTGGGCAGGCGGGCTCGCTGGAGCCTGCTTGCTTTAGTGGGCAAGGCCACCCCGGCGAGACTCACTTTGCTGATTTTAATGGCACAAGGGGCCCCAGGGAAGCCAGGCAGACACGTCTTAAAAGCAGAAATTTCGCTGAAGGGCCCCCGGCCACAGGCATTGACCCCAGCCACACGGAACTTGTAGGCTGTGCCCGGCTGCAGCTCCTGCTTCTTCAGCTGGTTGTAGTCCGGGACGGCGCCCGAGTCTTCCTGTGTGGGGGTGGGAGGGGAGCACGAGCTCAGGCGACCAGACTGGGCTTTTCTGCCGCCTCATGAGGCGCTACGTGAGTGTCAGCACTGCGCCCAGCAGAGTCCCCACAGCCCTGGTCCCTGCCCTCAGCTGCTAGGGACACTCACATCGGCTGGGACAGCGTCGTCTGGCGGCATGAAGTAGTGCGTCACCATTACGTTGGTGCCCTTGATGACCCCCACGTCAAACCACTGGTTCTCCTTCTTCATGGGGGCCTTGCTGGGTGGGGGTGGGAGGTCGGGCTTCTGAAAGACAGAAAGGGGAAGAGTGATCAGGCCGCTGCCACCACAGCCCAGAGGTAGCGCCTGCCCTCCGCCCCACTGCATATGACTCACCACCCCCAAGGACTCGATGCCGTTGGCCACTTCTGTCAGGGTAGCTGCAGCCTGCAGCTTAGCAGGGCTAGCTACCACCACTGGCTGGGGTGCCACGAATGTGTTGGATGGAGCCAGGCCTGGAAAGAGAGGCGTCAGAGGGAAACACATCAGAAAGCCACCTTCCACGGTCCGAGCTCCTGCCAAGGGCCCAGGGGCCCAAGTGTCCCGGGGCAGGGCCCCTCTTACTCTCGGTGGCTGTGGAAGGCAGCAGGGCCACGGTGCTAGGGACAGCCCCGGCCAGCTCATTGAGGCAGTTGCTCTCGATGGCCGGATCATTGAGGCTGTCGGCAGGGGCCAGGGCCTCAGTGGGGAGGTGGTGGTGCTGCTGCTGGGCCTGTGCCTCCTGCAGCTGCTGCTGCTGCTGCACCAAGGCAGCCAGTTCCTGCTGCGTCAGCACGATGGGGATGGTGGTGGCCTGGCCCTCCTGGCCCTCGGCTGACAGGTGTCCCAGCTCCGCCTGCGTCACGGCTGCCGCCGCCTCAGACGTGTCCATGGGCTCCCCAGTGCCTGCTCCATGGTGGAGAAAGACACTACTCAAGAGGAAGGCCCAGCAGGAAGAGCTGCCCAGGCTTCCCCAGCCCTCTCCCAGTGGCCTGCTGTTGGGAGTGCTCTGCGCAGCCCCCGGGGGGGCCCTCATCGCCTCGCCCGCCTTTACCTCACCTTCCCTGCCTGAGATGACACTGGAGCCAGGATACTTGGCTTGCTTCCTGGAGCCCTGGCCTCCGTGCCAGTTCTGCCCACCACACTGCACTCATGCCACCCTGGCCAGAAGTGGGTCCCCTTTCTCAGGCTGCCCATCACCACAACCTCCAGCAAGGACTGGCAACTGGAGGCTTGAGACGCTCTCACTCCTCCCCCACCTCCCCTCGGGGCTCCAGCCCCCACTAGAGACAGTGGGCGCATCACACTCCCAACACCTACCCATGACGGCCTGCTGTGCGGCCTGGAGCACCGCCTGGATGGCCAGGGCCTGAGCTTCCTCGGTGGCTGCGGCCTGGGCAGCCGCTTCAGCAGCCGCAGTCACTGCCAGCTCTTCAGGAGTGAGCCCTGTTACCATAAGGGTGGCAGTGCCCGCCTGGGCCTCTGCCATCAGCTCCTGGGGAAGTGAGAGCTGCTCCACTTCAGACTGTGTGGGCGCGGGAGGCTGGACCACCACAGTGGCCACCACCGCCGAGCTGGCAGGCTCTTGGCCTGCAGACGGGTCCCCTGTACTGCTGAGATCCACGGCGGCCTGGAGCTCAGGGGTCTGGGAGGCTGACAGGACCTCGGCGGACTCCCCCATCAGGGGTGTGGAGGCGGGCTGCAGGAGTTGCCTCGGGGGCAGCTGCTGGCGGGGCCCTGGCGAGGCCTGGAGCTCCTCAGGGGGCTGCAGGATGTCAACAGCAGAGAAGGGCATGTCAGAAGTTTCTGTGTTGGCTATGGTCACCGTTATCGTGGCTGGGATGGGGACTTCGGTGGTCAGAGCCCCTGGGGTAGTCTCAGTCACTGACGAGATCTTCTAGAAAGGGAGAGAAGCTCCCGTCAGAGAGAAGGAGAGGAAGGCCAGAGCCAGGGCGCCTTCACCTTTCTGTGGGCTTCCATCCTCAGTGGGCATGTACAACCCCGTGAAATGGGGGGGTGGCAGTTACTGAGCAGTGGGGTGCAGCGAGAGACCCGGATGTCTCTAGCCAGGGGTGCGTGCAGACCAGTGAAATGACAAGCCTGGGAAACACTATGGACGCCAAAGCCCCGAGGGAGACACACTGCTCTCCTGCCCTGTCACACACACATGGGCCTTTTATGGCCTGGAGAGGCCCAACAGAGACAGCAGCCTGGGCTGAGGGTGACACCTAGTGCCCAGCTCCGAGACAGCGCAGGCCGAAGAAGAGCCAAAGGGGCCTCCCAGGGCTCTCACCGGCACAGAGGGGCCCGGGGCTGGTGTGGACTGCGTCACGGTGGTCACAGCCCTCGTCAGCGTGGAGGACACGGTGCTCGTGACGGTGCTTGAGCTGGGGACGTTCACACCGTCACCCTGGGTGCTCTCCACCTCTCCCTGGTCGCTGGCGGCTGGTGGGGGATCTGTGGGGACAAGCAGCAGTGAGGCAATAGGCAACTTACCGGGGGGCTTGGTTGGCAGGCACCCCAAGGCCTCCGCCGGCTTTGCCACCACGAGATGCAGTCACCTGCAGGAGCCATGGGATCTGGCCACAGGTTGCGGCTTCCCACAGCCTGGCACCTCCCCTCACCTTGGTTCGAGCTCATGTTGGAGGTGACGGTGGTGGCCGTGTGGGTGGTGCCCGTCTCGTGCGTCTCACAGGGCGGGTTGGAGCAGACCCGCTGGGTCGGGAAAGGGGCCAGCAACGAGGTGCCAGCTTGGGGGGCACCCACGGGAGGCCCAGCCCCCTCCACGGCAGCCTCCAGGGTCCTGTGGGAGGCGGCGCTGTCAGGGAGCAGGGCTCCCACGCTGACTGACATGGTGGTACCGGTGGAAGTGGTCTGATGTGTCTCGCAGGGGCGGCTGGCGGGGGGCTGCTGCCCGCCCTCCGACTGGCCTGCTGTACCCCCACTGGAGGTGGCCGTGGTGGGCGTGTGGGTGGTGCCCGTCTCGTGGGTCTCACATGGAGGGTTGGTGCAGACCCTCCGGACGCTGCCCGCGTTCGAGGTAGTGGCCGTGCTGGTGGTGCCCGTCTCGTGGGTCTCGCACGGCGGGTTGGAGCAGACCTGGGTCACAGTGGCCACGGGGCATAGCAGCGCCTCCAGGGTGGCCGCAGTCACAGCAGCGCAGGGCGAGCTCTCGTAGACAGGCAGGGAGAGCTCCCCAGCACCCATGGTGGGGCGGGCTGTGGCGGTCAGGTGGGTGCGATGCACCTCCGCTGGGCGTACCGCACACCCCAGCTGACTCAGGCCTGCCGCAGGGCTGTCCTTGCTGCCGGGGCCACTGGGCCGGACCTGGCTGCCCATGGGGGCCAGCTCAGCCAGGGCAGGGCGGGGCCCAAGAAGCGGGCCGGCCGGGCACGGGGCCCCCGTTGCCATCACAGTCATGGTGGTGCTGGTGGCGCTGGTCTGGCGGGTTTGGCACGAGGGCTTGATGGCGGCACCCGGGGCAGCTTTCGTGGCCTCGGCAGCCGCGCAGACCCGGACCATGGCAGGGCTGGCGCTGGCCACGCAGGTGGCCTGCCGTGTGTCTCGCGGCTGTCCCGCACCGATGCTGGACATGGCGGTGGTAGCCGTGCTGGTGGTGCCCGTCTCATGGGTCTCGCACGGCGGGTTGGAGCAGCCGTGCTGCCCCGCCATGTTGCAGGTGGCGGTGGTGGCCGTGCTGGTGGTGCCCGTCTCGTGGGTCTCGCACGGCGGGTTGGAGCAGACGCGCACCAGGCTGCCGTTTGGCTGCCCCGCTGTCGAGGACACCAGAGAAGCCGCGGCCTCCTGTCTGTCGCAGACAAACTGCACTTGAGCGGGCTGTGGGTGCCCACCAAGGTTGGCCACGACCGTGGTGGTGGCCGTGTTGGTGGTGCCCGTCTCGTGGGTCTCGCACGGCGGGTTGGAGCAGACCAGCGTCACGGTGCCTGGCTGTACGTCACCCTGACCTGAGTCGGCGATGGTGACAGTGGCGGTGGGCTGCTCTGTGGTGGGCGAGGCCAGAATGGACACCGGGAGGTCATGCACAGGCTGGGCCTCGACTCCGCTGGGGGCCGTGATCAGTGTCACCTGGGTGGGCTGGGAGACAGGCTGTGGAGGTGAGAGCAGGAGGCGTTAGCGAGGGGCCTCTCTCGTCCGCCCGCCGCTCCCGGCGCCCACAGCTCACCCACACAGGGCAGGCCCACCGGCTGGCTCTTTAAAGCCACGGCCCTAGCAAATCCGGGAGCCACGGGCCCCGAGAGGCTGGATTGCTCACGGACTAGGGGAGACGCAGCGGTGGTGGGGTTGGACGTGGGGCACCAGGGAACCCCAGGCCATGCCAAGGCCATGAGATGCTTCTCCACCTCCAGGCTCTCCACTCTGAATGCATGGAGAACAGCGGAACGCCACGTGCGGTGAGAGGCTGCGTTCTCTTTCACAACGAGAGACAGAGGCTCGCTCCCACGGCCCACCTGAGCTAGCTGTCTCGGCAGTGTGGTGCCGGCGGGGGGGCTGGGGAGTTCAGAGTGCAGCCAGGTGCCCTGTGGCCGCAGCACACCCCCAGTGCCTGGTAGGGAGACCCGCCCGCGCCTACCTGCATGGTGATGGTGGGCGTGGTGAGTGCCCCAGCTGCTGTCAGCGTGGTCTGTGCGGCCGACACGGTGATAGCGGTGGGATTGATCACTTGGCTCGAGAGGGTGGCGATGGTGCCCAGGGTAGTGATGGGTGTGGCCAGGGAGGCACTGGTGCTGTGGCCCCCGGCTCCAGCGAGGCTGGTGGACACGGTGCCCGTCACCGTGCCTAGGGTCGTGACACCTAGGGCAGGAGGCAGGCCAAGATGACGATGGCTGCCAATGCTCCTCTCCCATGGGGTGGGGGTGGGAAGTGGGGGTACCAAGCCTGCAGGATCCAGAGAGTGCCCGCATCTTCCCCCAGCAAGGAAACACCACTGCCCGGCCCACAGGCTACGCACCTGTGGTGCCTTTCACAACCAGCGTGGTGACGGCTGGCTTCACGGCTGAGACGGTAACTGGGGTAACCAGGCGGACTCCCCCCATGGGCACGGTGCGGAGGATGGTGCCAGGCTGGCCAGGAGCCCCCTTCAGCACCACCTGGAACAGCAGAGCAAAGCACACCCCAGGTCACATGTCACCGCAGGCTGGCTGGCTGGCGGCTGCACTGTACCCTCGAGACATGTAGCCCAACAGGGGTCTAGAGAGGACAGTGAGGTGAAGTGGGAGCCAGGTCTACCTCACCTGAGTCACTCCTTGCTGCCCGTGACCAGTGGCAATTTTGGGGACAGCAGTGATGATTTTGGCAGGTGCGCCCGTTCCCGAAGTCATAACCTTGGTGGTGATAATGGTGATGGGCGACTTGATGCCAGGGCTGCTTGTCACACCTAGACAGGAGAGGGGCAGCTTGGCCATGGTCCGCTGGGCATAGTTGCCAGGCCTGACCTGTGCTCGCTCCCAGGGCCCGTCTCCCTCAGGCCTCCTATTAAGTAGTGACCCCCCTGCCTTGAGGCTAAAGGGGAGAACTCCCGTTAGTGCTATGAGCTGGATGGCAGGAAGGCGAGAAGGCTGCGGGAGACGGAAGCCACACACAGGCGACAACGCATGGGGGAGGGGCCTACCTGTGGCTCCTGCCTGTGTGATGATGGCAGACATGGGTATGGTCTTGATGATGGTGGTCGTGCCAGGCTTGGTGGTGCTGGGCGACACGCTGCTGATGCCCAGGATGGTGGGCTTTGTTCCAGCCCCACTGGCCTGGGTGGTTGTGATGATGGTGGTGGGTTTGCCATCTGCTGACGTCACCAGCTTCAGGATGGTCCCAGCAGGCAGGGGTCCTTTGGTCTGCGCGAGGAAGAGGAGGTGGGCAAAGGGAAATGGGGTCCCTGCCAGAATTCCACCAGGCCTGGTCCCGCCCATCCATAGTCAAAGCAGCACAGGGCGTACTCCGAGGGCAAACAACAGGGTGCAGCAGCAGTGGGACTTCCTGTCCCACCCGCGCTGTGGGATCTCCTTCAGGTGGGGGCCCAAGTCTCTCGGCACCAGAGCCCACCTGGATGATCTGGGTGACAGGGCCTGTGGACGCCTGGCCAGTGACGGCCGAGGTCTGAACTGGTTTGGTCTGGACCACTGACATCACTTTGCCCAGGTTAGAAATCTAAAAAGGAAAGAAGGAAGCCATGAGCGACTCAAAGCAAAGGCGGGCACAGGCTGGGCCTCACCAGACGGCAACCTCCACTCACCAGAGCACTGCCCCCTGGGACGGAGATGGGACTCTTCACCAGGGTGATGGTCTTGGTAACCCCGCCCACCACGGTGGTCACAACCTGTGCTTGCTGGGCCACCGTCACAGTCCCCGACTTGTGCACAGTGATGATGGGCCGGGTGGACGTATTGGCGGCAGAGGAGACGGAGGTGCCAACCTGGGCTGCTGCGGTCTTCAGCATGCGGGTGGCCGGGTTGCTCACCTGGAATGGCAGAGGCTAGTCACAGGCTGGGCAGGGAGGGGCCTCTACGGGGCTCCCAACTCTGGCCTGGCTGTCCCTCTCCCCGGCCCCGGACTGTAAGGCAGTTATGGAACAGTGACCTGGGCTGACTGGCCCGAGGCCCGAAGAGCAGAAGGCCCAGCACGCAGGCTGCTGGCTCCGGACAAGGCCTGGAGGGAGCTCACCATCACTGGCGAGGAGGCCACCTTCACTGTGGCCGGGAGGGTGGTGGTGCCGGGCGTCACAGCCACAGTTTTGACGATGGTGGTTCCCGCTGGGACACTCAGCACCGTGGGCGCTGAGGAAGGAGGGATCTTCTGGGTGGCCGCAGCCGCGGCCGCCAGGGCAGCCATCCCACTCATCTGCGGGCTGCTGCCGATCACCTGCGCAGGCACCAGGCACGTTGGGATCCAGGCAGCCTCCCTCTCTGCTTGGGGGAGGTACCCTAGAACCCACCAGGAGGTGCCACCCAGCCCGGGGGAGCCCCCTTCTTGCTCAGCGGACCTCACAGCAGCAACTCTCGGCCTCTACCCCCCCACCCCCCACCGGCCCTGCTCGCCTGGCCCAAGCTTGAATCTTTACGGCGCCCCGGTGACTGGAGCCTGCTGGCAGCTCCAGATCTTTCCTAAGGGCTCTGAGGCCAGATCCAGTTCTCTGCTGCTAGGCCCGGGGACACCCCAGCAGGCTAGGTTTACCCTCCGGCCTCAGGCCAAGGGCGGTTACACTGAAAACGTCCTGGCAAGCGGCGGCAGAGAGGCTCTCCGCAGCTGTCAACTCCAAGTCTCACTAGCAGGGTAGGGATAGACCGAGACCAACTGACCAGTGCTTCCTGTGGGCACTGGACCCAGGCTGCACACATGCAAGTGCTAGGTGGCCTATGACCCAGCCGGCGCCATCCGTCGCCAGGAAGCCCCCCGCCCTATCCAGTCCGGCGATAGCACCTCACCGTCCCTTGGGCGCTCTGTGTTGGTACGACCATCCGCACGCCTGCAGGAAGGGAGGTCACGGTGACAGGGGCTTTCCCCGCCTGGCTGGCAGGTCTCATGGTGACCAAGGGGGTTCCTGTTGTAGCCTGTGGCCCAGTCACTTTGAGAACAGCAGGGACACCTGGCGAGAGAAGGGGTCACCCGTGAGCACGTGTCCCTGCTGCTCTCAGGTGGGAGTGTCCACGGCTCTCAGCCGGAAGCAGCCCTACGCAGGCCCGCCATCTCCCAGGGTGCTGGCCCTTGGCCTGGAGTGCCTGGCCCCCCGCTCACCTTGAGTCCTGGCTGCGGTGGGCACAGAAATCGAGCTGCCAGGCACTGTCGGCAAGACCTGGATGGCGGTGGTGGTGGGGGGCGCAGCGGCAGCCTGGGGCAGGAGCGTGATGCCTACCTGGGTCAGCGGCTGCACAGCGGGTGCGGCGGCTGCCGGGGCAGGGCTCTTGGGTGGGTTGGCGGGCACGGACGGGACCGGGTTGGGCGTGGGGGAGGTGGCAGTGGCGGCCGTGGCAGGAATGTCATATTTCTGGAGCTGCAGAAGGTAACTGTCGGCTGTCGCCACCGCCCCCCAGCTCACCTCCAGGGAGTTGGTGTTGGCTCGCACCAGCTGTACCCGGGCCGGGGGCGGTGGCTTTTCTGTAAGAGAGCACACAGCTGCAGCGTCCACTCGGGGAAGGTAGCAAGGCTGTGCCCTCGAGCCCGCTCGGACGACGGGGAGCCTATGCCCCCGCTCCAGTCGGCCTCACCTGTTTCCAGGTACCAGAGGTCCTTGCAGCAGACCTGGTTGTTCCAGGCCTTTCGGTAGCCATCACGCCCACTCCAGATGTACAGGCGGGTGTTGATGGCCACAGCGCAGTGGCCAGCTCGGGCCCGGGGAATGTTGTCCTCCAGGGTGTCCATCAGGATGGTCTCCCAAGCCATGGTATCTGGGGAGGGCAGGAACCAGCGGTCAGCGGACAGGGCAGTGGCGCCCACAACCCCCAGCACCCTTTGGTCTTTTGCTGCCAGGGGTAGGAAATTAACACCAGAAGGCACGAAGGTCAAGGAATTTGAAAAAGCCGGTCGACAACTCTGTGCGGGCAAAAGGCCACACGAGAAGAGCTCGTCAGCCAGAAACCGTACACTGGGAACCGCCTGAAACACAGTCGAAGCTTTAACTTCTCGGCTACCAGGTCACGTCACCTACAGAAAGGCAGGCGAGCAGAGGGCACAGGGGATGAGAAGGCAATGGAGGGGGCTGAAGGGCAAGTACGTACCCTCACTCAAGAGAAGGACAGTGCAAGCTCAAGCCTGGAGCCTGGCAGTCTGATTTCTGTGCCCACTGCGGCTGGGGCTCCCGAGGAGCCGGGGGCGGGGCTGGCCCGTGGGGTTGGTCAATCTCCTAGTGGGCTTGGCCAAGAGCAGCCAGCTCAAGGGCTGCCGGGCCAGCACCACTGGGGCCACACAGGCCGGCAGAGCCTCGGTGCCGGACACCCCTTCGGCAGCCGCCCACCTCGAGGCTGTGGCCCACACAGTTAAGCACGGTGCAAGGATGCTCGCAGCGTGGCGTCTGTGGAAGCCACGCTGCCGCTGCAGTGACTGAAAAGAGCAAGGCCACTGGGTGTGCAGGGGTGACGCCGTGGTGGACAGAGGGAGAGGGGCCGTGTGGCGCCGCTGCAGAGAGCAGGCTGCCGTGGGGCTCATGGCAAAGAAACAACAGGAACGCTCAGGCACAGAAAAGCCTGACGGAGGAGACACCACCAACGTGGAGGCCTGAGGAGGCCCGGAGCAGTGGAAGACTGAGCAGCGCGGGCGCTTTCATCCTTCTGCGGGCGAGCCACGAGCCGGAGGCACCTAGTGACAACGTTCAGGGGCGCGCCCTGCCCACTGGCTACTTCTCACGGAGTCTGGAGGCCCAGGCCTTAGAAGCAGCTTCGCTCCCTGCACACCCCACACAGCTGTCAGGGCCGAGGAGGGCCAGCCTCCTGCAGCCCTCCGCAGGCCACTCCGAGCCCGAGGCGGCCATACCCAGGTTGAGACAAGCCAGTGTGTTGGTACACTTCCACTCCTTCTCATGTGTGGCCACTTTGACGTCATCCATGACGAGAGGCACCCAGCCACCAAAGACGTACATTCTGGGACGAGGGAGGGAAGAGTAGGAGAGGGTTGTAGAGGACGTGCCAAGCTAGAGACCACCTCTTCCATTCAGAAAGTTCTAAACACGCTCGGTCTTCTAGCTGTCCCCAGGAGACCCCAGGACACACGAAGCGTTCCACGTGGCCCTCTCCACTCGGTGGCTCAGCCCTCACAAGAACTGTGTCACCTCCACCGTGAGAAGCAGTTTAGCTCACCTAAAGCTCATCTTAACCCCACGCTCTACGTTCATGTTGGGACCTCGGCTTTGGCAAAAGCACCCAGCTGCTTGTGCAGACGATCTAGAGCAAGCCATTCCCTCAACCCCGGGCTGGTCTTCTCTCGGTCCCCAGGGCCTCGGGAAGCGGGGCTGCTGGACGCAGGCCAGACTGAAAGCAGTCCCTTCGGCCCAGGCATGGCGCAGCAAACTGGGCCGAGCGTCCTGGCCGGGCACTCACTTGTTTCCTATGGTCGTGGCCGAGTGGAGGCTTCGTGGAAGAGGCGCCACGCCGCTGAGGCTGGGCTTGTTCCACGTCAGAGTCTCTGCAGGACAACGGAGAAGCGTCACCCGCCTGGTCAGGCCTGAGCCCCGCCCCCGCCACACATGGGCACCTGCTGAGCCACTCACACCACGCAGGTGCGTCCCCCCAGCCCACAGGACTTCGCTCATGCTGACCTGTTTCTTTAGGACGCCCACAGGACCCTAGGGTCAGCTCTACACCCTGCCCCGCCAGCCTTCTTCAGGTCACCGCCCTCACTTCCTTCGGCCTCTGGCTGCGGCCTCTCAGGTGCTTCAGTCTCTCGGCCAGACACTGCTTCCGGCGCGCTGACCGGCGCACCCGACTAGGCGAGTGACCTGAGACGCCTCCGCCCTCCCGCACTGCCCGCACATTGAGCGACTCGGCCAGCTGCGCCTGGCTCCAGCTCAGGACAAACGCAACAGCCCCACGAGGGGCAGCCGGCAGGGAGCGCTGCAGCCATGTCTCACCGATGTCCAGGGTCCAGAGGTCTCCCAGCCGGCAGCCGCTCATCCCCCCGTAGATGACCAGCTTAGACTTCTTGTTGTCCTTCTCAGTGTACACCACGGCCGTGTGCGATTCCCGGGGTGGGGGCAAGACCCCGTATGTGATTGGGATGTCCCAGGCGACCACCCCGGAGCCTGGCCGCAACTCCAGGATGTATAAGTCGTTCAGGTACCTGGCAGAGAAAGGTGGGTCACCGCGAGCCATGACTCCACAGAGGCCTCAGTGGAGTCTGAGAGGAGGCTCCTCTGGGAGATAAAGGGAGCTCTCCAAGTCCTTCCTTCACCCACGCATTCCTGAGAAGGGGCTGCTAGAAGTTAGGGGTGGCAGGACGGGGCACGCTGGGCTGCTGGCATTTTAAGAGGACCCCTGCGAGCAAAGGGGGGGACCGGTTCAGGAGGGCCTCCAGGAAGGCCTGAGGCCACCAGCATGGAAAACACCCATCATGCACCTGCAGGCGGCAGAGCCAGAAGCCGAATGCCAGCCCCGCCCACGCCTGGCGAGCAGGCTGCAGCTGAGGCCTCCCTCCTGCGAGGACCCCCCAGGCAGACCTTGGGAGCTTGTGAGCGGGCACCTGTCACCTTCCTCAAAAGGCATGGGTGAGCATGGGCTGCGAGCACCCCCATCCTGGTGGGGTTCCCGAGAGCAGAGGACAGGGCTCACCTCGGAATGTTGTTCTTGGGGTCTTCGCTATCGTTGGCCAGACCCCCAAACAGGTAGCATTTGTTGCCCACGAGGGAGAAGCTGTGCCCAAGTCGAGGACACGGCGGGGGCCCATTTTTGGGCGTCTTCGCTTTGAGCCTCTTCCACTCCCATCGGCTGGCCTGCGCACCCAAGTGGCGGGGATTAAGGGGCGCGGAGTGGCCGCCTGGGCAGCGGCAGGAGGGCTGCAAGCGGCCTGCCTGGGACCGCCTGCACCTTCCAGCAGGGCTCCCTGCCGTGGGCACCCCACACCCACAGCACTCCCAGCGGAGGATGGGGACGGGCGGCGGGAGCACGTACCTGGAGCTCGTAGAGGTCGTTGCTGTACTTCCCGTACTCCACCATGCCCCCAAACACCAGCAGGCGCGTGCCATCGCACACGAAGCCATAGGCCGCACAGCCAGGGGGGATGTCTCCTCTCACGGCCGGGATGAACCACTGGTTGGTGGCTGGAGCAGAAGGAAGTGGAAGTCAGAACTCCCCAGGGGCTGCCAACCTGTCTCCTGCTGCTCTTCCTCCTCGGACGCGCGGGCACCCACGGCCAGGTCTGAGGAAGGGGGAGCCGAGACAGAGCCTCTGCTAGGCAGGGGCAGAACTTTCTGGGCCTCCCAAAGGTCAACCTGTCCTCCTAACCCCTCGGCTCCCCAGGCCACATCAAGAGCAGCTGGTCTCCGGACTGTGCAAGCAGCCAGAAGCCACCAGTCAAGAGAATCCACCTGCTTCTGGGCACGTGGCCGCGGACTTCCTTCCCCTACTGCTTGGCGGGTGATGGGAAAGGACCTCCTGACACCCAAAATACCCTCGAGGGCCCGGTGCCCCTCCTCCCAGGGGTCCACAGCTGCCTGGTGGGAACCCACAATGCGGGTGGCAGGTGGAGCCCTCCTGCCCTGCAGGGGCCACAGCAGGTGGTGAGGGAGGCAGTGTGACTGGCCACAGGCAAGAACAGTGCGCCCTGTGGGCGCGAGAACAGTCTGCCCCGTCTCCTCGGAGACAGTTCAGGCCCCCACGTCCCGCCCACAGGGCCGGGGCCTCCTCAGCAGCCAGGGCGTGGAGGAGCGGCAACAGCGAGAGCTCCCCTGGCAGCCTCACAGCCTCTGCCAGCCAGAAGCTGCCCGAGTCCATCACCTCCAGCTGGGGGAGAGTCAGGACACCGCCAAGGAAGAGGGTAGAGCCCGCGCCAGGCGCCATGGCCAGCCCCAGCAAGGCTCCCGGCTTGCCCCTGCTCAGCCTGCAGCACAGAGCCCACACCTGTCATGCAGGTCCTTTGAGAAGTCCCCCTAGTGACAAGTGGAGGGGCTGTCTCCAGAAGACATGTCCCAATCTCCCTCAAACACCTCCCAGCAGAGCCATGCCAAACCAGATTCCAGCTCTGGTCAAATGTGAGGGAGCAGATGGCAGGTGAGGGCCAGCGGGCAGGGACTCAATGAAGGCGAGGCGGGCTAGCTTTTGGGGAGGCTCTGGAAAGCCCCTACTACGCCCTTGGCCACTGCCCTCTGGGTCACTCGAGTCCTACACCCACCACCCCCAGGTCCAACTCGCACAGATCCGAGTTTGGGGCCCGTCTGCAAAACATAAATGCTCCCCAGAGATGGCAGCTTGTCTGTGCCCCCCGTTCTCCTGCTCCCACTGACAGGCCGGTGTGGAGCAAACGCAGGTCCGCTGGGCGCCTGCGCTGAGTCGCTGGCACCCCAGGAAGGCCTCGCAGTGTGCTCTATGCTGGCATCTGCCCTCTTCCTGGTAGAGGGCAAAACGGCTGCCTACAGACACAGCTGCACGCACACGTGTGCACAGACACACACACACATGCCCTGGGCCCGACTCACAGCCTCCTCACGCCAAAGCAAAAACAAATCGAGAAGCAGCGGACTCCGAGCCGAGGCGACTTTTTCTGCACAAGCCAGAAGACCCTCCCGCCATCCCTGCAAGGCCCCCAGCATCAAGGTGCTGACGTGGCCTTGGCAGCCTTGTATGGTGGCTGAGGGCCTGGACTGTCCTGCTCTCGGAAAAAGCACAGGAGGCAGCCGGCACGCAGGCTCTGTCAAGGCACGACCAGCAGGCCGGACGGACCCCCAGCTCCGGTGCTGCCGGAATCCTCCCACCACCAGCCCGCCTGTGGTCACCGCCGCCAGAGGACCCACGGGGACCCTGCCTGTGGGGCGGAGATGTCGCTCTGGCACGCCAACACCAAGGTGGCAGGAGGGCAGCTGTGGCTCCCCCCACCCCACCAGAGCTGGCACCGGCCCTGGGAGCTGCCAGTGCCCCAGCCCAGGAGTGGGAAGCACTTTGCAGAAGAGTTGACTTCAGAGCCCAGCCTCGAAGGGTGAGCAGGACCTCCCGACAAATGAAACCAGCAGCAGGGCCAGTCAGGAAGTGACGGCGAGAGAGGCCCCAAGTGGAGGATAGACGCGGGCCAGCTCAGTGACCAATGGGGTGCAGCACCAGAGGAAAAGGGAGGCGTCTCCAAGGCGGCCTGTGCTCAACCAGAGGAACGAACGCCACTGAAGCGAGGCGCCGGATGAACCTGGACCTGTCGCTTCTCTTCCCAGGCCTCCATCTCCTCTGTGAAGGCCAACGAGTCCCACTAGACAGCTTCCAGGCGTAACCGCTGGAGACAACCCAGAGCCTCTGGGGCCATGCAGCCCAGGAGGGGCACCCCCACGCTGCGGGCCCAGGGGCCCTTCTGCTCAGGTCCTCTGGGAGCCCCTTTCGCTACAGCAAAATCCAGCTCCCTGAGGGGCAGCAGAGGGGCGGCCTGAGACCTCCCAAGGCCAGCTGCTGTGCTGGATGTCACGGGAGAGCCATGCAGTGCAGGGCGACAGCACCTAAGACAGTGCTGCGGGGAGAGGGCGGCTCTCCCCTCAGGAATGACAGGGCGGTGAGAAGGCCGGGCAACCCGGCTGACACCTCGCGCACAGGGGCAAAGACCACCAAAGCAACCTCTGGCCCCGGGCACTGGGCTGGGCTGGGCACGGGTGTCACTCGGCCCTGCGCTTTCCCAAACCATCTCCCTTCTCTGCTCTGAGCTTGGGGCAGCCAGGTGGGTCGCAAGTGCTGCTCCCCGGGGCCCAGCCTCTCTATGGACAGCCATGCCCCTGGGTCTCCTGGCCCTGCAGCTGTCTGGGCTGGCACTGAGCACCGCCGGCCAGCCTGGCCTCATGGACGCAACAGGTGCCGAGACCAGAACACCAAGGGTCACCAGCCACCCGATGGCCCATGAAAGTCAGCTTGGTGGCTTCAACATCCTCGAAGTTGCAGAGGAAACCACGGGCTGCCCTGCGGGAGGGGGCACCCCCCACCTGCTGGTCCAGGGCCTTGGCAGAGAGGTGCCAGGCGCTGCAGAACCTGCCAAGGACGGGAGCTGCCCACAGACCATCTCACCATTTGACCTGGGGGTTCACCACACCCTGGTGCTTCGGGCTCTTGCCCAGAGCCAGGCAGGCTCCCAGGGTCTGGCGGCGGGGGGAGCTGCCGGCCGGGAGAGCCTTCGGTGCCATGGACCGGGCTTTGGGGGCGGCAGGAAAACCGGCAGCGGGGTCACCTCCTCAACCTCACAAACCGGGGGTCGTCAGGCCGGGGCTGACCCAGGCCTCTGCGGAAGGCTGGGCTCCACCCCCACCCAGCCAGCCGGCCTCCAACCCAGGAAACAGACCACCTGAGGCGAAATCCTGCAGGACAGGGCCAGGGGAGGCAGGGAGGCTGCCCCGCGCCACCTGCGGGTGCCAAGGCCCCCCGCACCGACTGCAGCCCCCGCCCAGTCGGGGTTGGGCCGCTCAGCTGTGCCGGTGCTTCGAGGGACAGAGCTAGTCTGCAGTTCTGAAGTTGCCATGTCTCCCAGAGATCCCCCAGCTGGGTGGGGGCTGGAGCAGGCCCGGCGCAGGCGCCAGGGCGGGCGGGCACGGCCCGCGCCAGAGGGAAGGCCAGAGGGAGGCGGCGCCTGCGCCGGCCCGGGCCGGGTAACGGTGTGAGCGAGCGTGAAGTCACCGCCGGCGGCCGGCGAGCCGCCCTCACCCCCACCAGGCGCAGAGCGCCAGCCCAGAAGGGAACGCAGCCCCCGACCGCGGGAGTCAGGGGAGCCAGAAGTGGGGGCCAGGCAGGCAGAGCGGGAAGAGCGCGGGGCGCGCAGGGGTGGAGCAGGCGGGAGGGAGTGAGGAAGGGAGGAGGGGAGAAGGCTGGAGAGGGGGAAGAGAAGGGAGGTGGAGGAGGAGGGCGTGCAAGGGGGGGAGGCAGGCGGCCGGGAGGAGGGCGGCGAGGGAAGAGGCGGCGCAGGGAGGGCAGACCCGAGGCGTCGCACTCACCCGTGTTGTACACGTGCAGTTCGTCCACGATCCCCTCGTTGCCGCCGCCGAACACCACGATGAGCTCCTTGATGGCCACGGCGCGGTGGCCGTGGCGGGGCCGCGGCACTGGACCCGACCAGCCCACCACTCGCTTCCAGCGGGGCTGCAGGAGCACCGCTGGCGAGTTGGCGGGCGACACAGCCGAGGCCATCGTTCCGAGCACGGGCGCGGTGCGAGAAAGTCACCGAGCGGGAAAGGAACCCCCCAATTCCTCGCACACACACCCCCTTTCCCTAGGGCAGCGCTCACGGAGCGGCGGCTCCTCACACAGCGGTGGACGACTCCATGGAGGCCGCCATCTTAACCACCCTCCTTCCCGCTGGCTCTTCCCCTGCTTCTCGCTCACCGCGTGTCCTCAAGAGCCTCCCGAAACTGCGGCGCGCCAAGGCCCGAGAAGCCGGAGGGCGCCGGGTCCCGCCGCCCTGACTGCTTGCCCGGGCGCCCCCGCTCACAAGCTCGGGCGGGAGGCCCTGGGAGCCGCCATCTTGAGCCGCCTCTCTCTCCTCCCTTCCTCAGTCGAAGCCCTCCCCCGCCGGAAATGGCGGAGCCCCGGCCCGGTTCCCACACCCCCCAGTCCCCAGTACTGGCTGGCTTCCGGGGCGGGTGGGAAAGAGCCACCAGCGCCGCGGTCGTCCCAGTCCCGCCGGCGCTCAGACCACAATTGTGGGAGCCGCCATCTTGAGACCGTCCCGCTTCCCCGCCCAGCGCTTAGTGCAGCCGCCGCTCCCGGAACAGGCTCGACGCTCGTGAGGGACAGAGGCGTGCCGGAGGCCAGCGGAACGAGCTCGAACTCTCGGGGGCTGCTCGGGGGCTCGCGCCGTACGACTCGTGGGGTCTCGAACCTCTTCCTTTGATCCGCGTCTGCTGCTCAGGCTGCGCCTGCCGCCCTGGGAGCCGCCATCTTGAGACTAGCTCCCCCTTCCCCCCTATTCTCTTCCTCCTAAGTCAGTTCTTCCGCCGCAAACCAGACGCAGATGAGTGTCCAGTCCTCGATTCTCTCCTTAGGACTCCTTCCCACAGGAGCCGCTCCAAAGAGCCAGAGTTAGGCCCCGACGCGGCAACTGTACGGCAGGAGGAGCGGTAACGGCAGGGCGCTCATGCCTCCTCCCTGGGAGCCGCCATCTTGTGTGAAGAAGTAACAACTAAACATGGCGGCGGCGGCGGTCGGGCGAGGGGGAGGAGTCTGGCGACGTCACCCTGCCCCCCCCTCCCGCCCTCGCACCGTTCCGCCTGTGAGCCGAGGCCGCGTTCCCTCGCCACTGGAGACCAAGGCCGCAGCGCTCTGGGCCTGGCCTCAGGCCGCGATCAGGTCAGGCGCAGGCGCGCCCAGCCCCGGGGCCCCCCTAGCGCGCCTCCACGCCTCCGCCCTGGGAGCCGCCATCTTTCCACTTCCCCTCGCCCGGTCTTTCGCGGGCGTCAATAGCGACTCTCAGCACAAAACAAAGATGGCGGCTGCGGCATCTGGGGAATGCCCGGATGAATCTGTCTGGGGCGCTTGCCCCGCCCTCCTTGGAGCTGTCTCCCCCGGGCCGCTGAATGGACGAGCCGAGGAGTTGCATTTCACTGGCAGTGGGGACTGGGGCGTTTGCTGAGGGGTGGCAGTGGGGGGCCCACGAGCGTCACGCCTCGAACGGGCGGCGGCCGCCTTCCCGCCTCTCACGGCCTGCGACCGCGGGAGAGGCGGAC